ACTTTTACTCGCACTTGATTCGTTTTTCATTTCTTTATTTTTCTATTCTATTTCATTCCTTTCATATCATCCACAAATAATTTCCGAAAATAAAATTTATAAAAAAAAAAACATTCAAGTAGAAAGAAATTTTAATTAAAAAACTTTTGATTTTTTTCTTTTCTTTCGTTTTTTTTCCTTTTTTTGCCTTAGAAATGGAGAGGCTAGGAAAAAGGAAAAGAACAAGAAAATAGCCGAGAAGGTGAAATAAAATTTATGGTTTCTCATCAATGGCTTGGCTTATGCCCATTGGAAGCTAATAATGGGATATCGAGTAGGGGAGTTTGTGGAAACATTTTTAATGAAATTTTTTTGTTCACTTTTTCTCATGTTTCTTACTTGCTCAGTTTTTGGTCTCTGTTGCTAAGTTGCTCATACTGCTCAATTTTTGTTCATTAGTGCTCAGTTTTTGGTCTCTGTTGCTCAGTATTTCGGTCACAATTGCTCATGTTGCTAAGTTTTTGTTCACTGTTGCTCAGTATTTCGGTCACAGTTGCTCATTTTGCTCAGTTTTCGTTCAATATTACCCGGTTTTTGGTCATAGTTGCTCAATTTTTCGGTCACAGTTGCTCAGATTTTCAGTCACAGTTGCTCACTTTTCGGCCACAATTGCTCAGTATTGTTACTACTTTTTTGGTTGTTTTTGCCCAGTTACTCAAAATTTTGCACAATTTTTGGCTAGTTTGATCAATGTTTGGACAGTTTGATCAATTTTTGGTACCTTGTCCAAACAAAGCACCAAATTGCATCAAATTTCACTTCATCTTACAATTACAAGCTAAATAAATTTAAAAAGAGTAAAAAAAAATCAACCACAGCTCTACAAAAAAATAAAATAAAAAGAGCCCCAAAGGTGAATTGCCTTTTGGAAGCGAAGTTTATATTTTATCGTAATTGTGGCAATAAATCAAATTTCTCAATTTAATAATTTTCCGAGGCTTCCTGCTCGCTGTTACCTCGTCTGTCTTACGATATCGAAGCTAAGGATGGTAAAAAAAAATGGAATATCGCTAACATTTTTATACTTAATAGACTCGTTCATGTAATTTAATAAACATTATAGACTAATTGGAATCTGTTTCATTTAATAAAGCGTTTCATATTTCCTTAAATTTATGTAAAATTGCTCAATTTCTATGATTATGTGAGAAATTTATTACAGATAATTTAATTAGGGTACCGAGGATGTAATTGAGACTGAATTTTTAAATGGATCGAAAAATGTTTCAAGGTGGAATCTTTAAGGTTCAACTCACTGTATACCCAAAAAAAAATATCTTAATATAATGTAATAAATATGCTATTGAAAAAAATCAATTTCAGATATTTTATGGTAATCTGGATAAAGGTAATAAAGAGATTACAAATATCTCTAAGAAAAATGTTTTTTTCGTTGCTTGAAGCAATTTGACGTTAAACATGTGTCTGAAAATGCTATCGAGTGTTTGGATAAAAATTGAAAATGTTTCCTCCCAACGACTGCAAACAAAGAAAACTTCAGTTTGATTCGAAAAATTCAAACTGAAATTCGAAAAATTTCGAACTGTTTCGAACTATTGAATTTTTTAAAAAAATAAATGATCGTTAGGGAATTAATAAAAATATATTTATTCTAGTTGTTTTTTGAAGCAAAATTATTCCTTTTATGTACCAATCGACTTTGAAATTGTAATTTTACTCTAAATTCAACAAAAACTTTTAATAATTTATCAATTGTATCTTGACAATGTTCAAAATCGACTTCAATTTGTGCAATTACTGTATTAATGAATTTCTGGTTAAAGGAAGGATCAGAACATAAGATAAAACAATTAAGCTGTCTATAAATAAATTCAAGAATACACAAGAAATATTTTTTTTCACAGCAATATTCAATATTATGCAATTTAAGAAATTCAATCCACTTATCTTTATGCACAGAGCTTTTTGGAAGTTCAAACAGAGGAATTTTATTGGTTTTCTTTCCTTTACAACCAGTAATTACACAATTTCTGACTATTTTAAAAAATGAAATTTTATAAATTCAATAAAGACTAAGAAATGCAAACAAATATTTTCAACGGAAATTTTAAATTCAAATCAAGTTCGAAAATGAAGTACCTATTTCCGAAAATGAGTTCTTGTTTGCAGTCGTGGGTTTCCTCCTTAAAGCTATGCATTTATATCAATAACGTGGGTATTTTCAACTTTATTGCAGAATTGTTGTGATGGCACCAGGATAGGACTTGAATAGGACTAGGATAGGACTCAGGAACAAAAAGGGGAAATGAATAAAACATAATGAGATAAAATTAGCGAAATTTCCCTTTCTCCAACTCTTCGTAGATTGTTTAACTTCTGACCTACATTATAGAATCCAATCAAACCAAATTCACATTTCAACATTTACTCCTATTAGAAGCATGACCACGTAATCAATATTCATATCCCGCCCATTTTTTCATTCACAACATTAACTTCAAAAGAACCATTTACTCCAATTCCTCTCGCCTTAACCAAACAAGAGTTAAAAAAAAATATAAATTTGCACTCATAAATGTTCATCCAGAAAAATACTGAAACATGTAAAATTTATGAAAATTATTCATGTTTTAATATAAGTGGCTTCATCCAACTTCAACAGCTCTACATTTACTCATTGTATTATGTAGTTATTATGAATGAATGGAAATAAATGTATTGCATATTGCGGATGAGAATATCATCAGAGATAGAAAGTTTTCTCTCTGTTTTTTCTATGAGAGAAAAATTGTGCATATAAAATAAACTAAAATTTATGTCTGTACTGCTCGTAGTGCTGTCAAAATTTTTTTATCATCATAACGACAGTGCAATCATACAATATACATTCATTAGTTGGATGATTATGATAGGAAATTGGGGTTAAAGCGATTTTTATGGTAATTAGATGAGTCACATGGGGCTATGGGAAGTTGGGGATTCTACTGGGGTTTAAAAAATTACTTTTAAGCATGCTGAATTCATGTAAGAAATCATTGTTTGGCCGGATGTATATGGAAGTAAGAAATCATGAAGAAAAGCTTGAAACTTATTTAAAACTAGCTCTTAATGATTCTGGCTCTTAGGGATAACTTAGCTCCATTCTAAGATTGCCAGCTTCAAAACTAAGAATATAATTTATGCACCATATTCAAGGAAACAGTTTAAAGTTTCTCCCAAATAGTACGCACGTGTGAAAAAATTATTAAATTAGTTTCCATCATTGACTACGAAAATATTTTGTGCGCCATATTTAAGGAAACAGTTTAAAGTCTCTCCCAAATAGTACGCACGCGCGAAGAAATTATAAAATTAGTTTCCATCATTGAGCAGTGATGAGCACTTATATTTGTGGCACTGCATATTTTAGGTACCCACTTTACTTAGGCTGCTCACCAGTAAAGGCAAATATTGACATTGAAAGAGTTCAAAAACTGGCTTATTAGACTATCCCAAACCTATTATACCTAAAATTTACTTCAAATTAAAATTTTTACAGCTCTAAAGATCAGCCTAAGTTTCAATAAAAATTCAACAGGACAAAATGATAAAATAACTCAATTATTAAGCATAAAACAATCAAATAGCTGTTAGCAGTTTTTGCTTTTTGCACTTCCCACACACAACAACAACATCCACATTCGAAAATATTTCTGTCATATGACGTCGATCCAGCCACTTTGCAATTTCATGCACATTTTGAATTTTATTGTTTTGAAATCTAAAATTATGGTAAATGCCAATGCATACATTGTAAAATTTATATTTTGTGAAAGAATTTATGCGATTTCGTTCCGCATCTTTTTAGAATTTAATTTAGCGAATAAATCATAACACAGCAAAAGTTTCGCCCTAACGCATAGAACTCAATTCTGATAAAATATTTATGTATGTAGCGTGATTTAGTTCTGGGTATGAATACATAAATATTTGCGTGGCATCTACAAAAAAAAAGGTTTAAAAAACTTTTCGCAGAATTTTTTAAGTGTAAAACTTTTTCATCTTCTAACTGGAAAAAAAAAATTTATTGACTTCCATAAACTTTGATTATTTACGGCTGTATCTTATTTGTAGTTGAGTATTTACTTTACTTGATAATTTAGATAATTATTTTTGTGTGTGTGGTCTTAAAAACTTTTTATAGTTTTCTTTTCGCTCAGAAATTCGTACTTAATTGACGATAAAGTTTGATGATTGTGTTTGTGTTTTGGGTCTTGATAATTCCATTAACTGCACATAAAAGATTTATTGCCATGCTTTTTTTTATGGGTTAAAATGTTTCTAAGGAAAAAAAAAGTTTTCGCTCTGTGCCAATTTTTTTCGGAGGTTTTTATAGTTCTTTTGGGGAATAGATCGATTTTTGGAGCTAATGTTTGCATATTTTATGGATTTTTTATTTAAAAAATCATCAAAAATGAATTTTAGACACCCCCTCACTCTCCTCATCTTCCCCCCCCCCCCCCCTCCACTCCTAATGGTCACAAGTTTTTGTATTAAAAAATTCTCCAATTTTTGAACTGTTACTAAATGTCATTATTACTGCAAAACACAAAAATTCTACAAACGTTTGCATTCTTAAACCCCATGACTTTGTCCACAAAATCTTCAAAAACACCACGCACATTGAACATCACTTTAAAAGTAAAATAATTTTTTTGAACAAAAATGAAGATGCAAGAGGTTTGAAGTTTGAAATTTATACATCCATTACTTCATTGTAAACAGAAAAATAATATCATAAAGAACAGTAGGTAACCGGACAGTGAATACTTTTGAGTAGTTTCATCACATCATTAGCATTGAGGAGTCTATTAATATTCATAAAGATTTACGAATTAGTCTCGCTTTTGATTTTTTTTGTTGATTTTGGAGATATTTGAACTAAATGTTCATTATTTTGATTGAGTTGACCGTAGGATGACTAATGAGACTACTGTTTTGAAGTTTTAGTGTCGTGACGATTCGTATCCTAATAATATCGATAACATTCTTTCTGGAGAATGAATGTCTCAACTTGAATGAGAATCGAACCTAGGTCTTCCAAATAGATCTTGAATACGAGTTGCCAAGCCACTCGATTCTCAAGATCCCTTACTCTAGCAATGGCAGATTTGTCTACACAACCTTAAGCCCCAAAGAAAATTTGGTACGATAACTGAAAGGTCGTCGGTTCGGATCCAGCAATTTGCAAATTTGTTCTTTTCAGTTTAGATACTTCGAGATAGAGAGCAATAGAAACGTGAGTTTGAAGATTACCTTTTAATTGAATATTGTCTAAACTGACTTGAGATGTATCACGTCACGCCCACAGAAGATTGACAAGCAGATTTGACTGCATATTCTCAAATCCTAAATGCTGGTAATAAGCCCTGCTCCCCCAAATTTCTGAAAAACAATAACTTGTGTCAAATTTCATTCTAACCGAATTTTTATTCAGTTTTAGTTCACACATTATTACGAAAAAAATTAAATCAGGAGCAAACTAGCTTTTCCTGCAAAATTTTAACATCTTTCATCACTTCTGCTATGCTTTCTAATTTCAGCGATCCATTCACACTTCTCACCACATTTTCATCGCTATAATCATTTTCGTTAGTTTTCAATGCTTTTCTCTTTGCTATCCAATGACTTCCATCACCAGTTTTTAACACTCTACGTCTAATCATCTCAGGCGTTGCAATTTTCTTGTCATAAACCAGTCCAAATAATCCGCATAGATCTATGAAGAATGTCGAGAGGGAATTGACGTACCACAAGGATGAAAATTCGTTATTTCGATAGTCAAATGGAAACGTATGATGATAATTATGAAACCCCTCGCCTAGCGTGATAAAATTGTACAGGACATTATCAGTTGCTGTGGATGTTGCATCGTATGGCTTCGGTCCATCCCAATGAACAAATCCATTCCCAACTAATAATTGGAGGAAGTTTAAAGACATTTTCAACATATTCATACTGAATGCAACGTAAATTGACTCATTCCAGATGAGAGTTGGGATGATTGTTGGGAGAAGCATGGTGATGGCGATGTAGAGTTTTGAGTAGTGCCTGCAAAATTTTAAGATAAAATCAATATTGAAATTCTGCGAATTCATTTAGCTCTCAACTTTTGATGAATAATTAGGTTCTTAATTAAAATATTCTTAATTATTAATCACAATTTGATTATCTTTCAATTTTTTGCCATCGAGTCGAAGACTGAGCAAGAATTTGATATTAAAAAATATTATCTGTGCAAGTGTGCTTACTTGTACTGAAAAGCAACATCAGAATCACTGAATAAATCATCCAAATCTATCCGATTAGATTCATAGATGTACTGTGGTGTTGGAGCAATAAACAGCCATCCAAAAAATGAAAAGAATAGTCCACGTTTGATGTTTGTTGGATCAGCTTCTGTGTCTGAGAATTTATGATGTACTCGATGTATTTGACACCAAGAAATTACGGATTTCTGGAATAAAGACAAGAATTCTTCAATATTAGAGCTTTCAAATGACTTATGAAGGGCGTGGCCAAAGGGGGATCAATTTGCAATGATTTTTTGAGACAAAAATCTCAAATCGTCCTTGAAATTTTGTCGTCCAAACAAAAAGACATGCAGACTTATGAAGTTTTTGATTAAATCTAATTTTTGTAACATTTCATCCGAATAGTACAAGCAGTCCAGCACCAAACCCGTGTGACTTTGACGTGGTGCTAGATTTAAGGCTAGCATCATGTCAAAGTCATGCCGGCTTAGTATAGGATTTCTATTTGATTAGTTCTAGAAGTGGGCGCTTGTTCTATTCGGATGAACTTACCATTCCAGATATTTGCTGTGCAAAAATTAAGAAAATTTTGAACTGTCGAGTAGCCTTGTAAGCATGATGGCTAAAGAAGCGATGAGCTCCTGGTCCAGCCCCAATGCCTCCAATTAAGAAGGTTGCAAGTGCTGCAAAAAATAAATAATTCAAAAAATGACTTTCTTACATTAGCTCTGTCACGAGAGGGGGTCGGGGGGGGGGAGGGGCTCCTGGATACACTACATTCCAGGAATTTAATAATCACACACAAATTTGACTCAAAACTTACAAAAAAATAAAGTTTTTGTTAACACTTTTCCAACAGATATATAATAAATCCCAAGAATAGATTCAATGGAAATTAGAGTTCCCATAGAAACCATAAACCACAAAATTTCATATTTATATTTTTTTTCGTTCACTTTTGCATCGTTTGAAGGCATTTTTATAGTTTCTAGTCTTAATTTTTTTTAAAATTGAATTTTTAAATTTAAAATTCAAAATTTTGTAATTATTTTCTATTTTAAACTTTTAAAACTAAACCACATAATTTTTTAATTCATCTTTAACATTTAAAGAAACTAACCGCTTAAAAAAATATTTAATGATCTTATCGATTTAACAGGTAAAAGTAAACTGACCATCAATCAAGTGCAGCAGCTAGAAAAGCTTCGAAATTATTCTTAAATACAAGAAAAGAGAATATTTTGTTTACTTTTCTGCACAATACTTTTAAAATTTGTACCGCTTGACCAATAACACTTAGCCTTGAGTTGACTCTTTTGGCAAATAAGTGACGTGCATGAAACGAGAGTGTGAACGATTTTGACTTATAATTTATGGGAAAATGAACTTTATCATTGAATATATCATTTCAAAATTATGACGTCGAGCCACAATGAAATGACACGTAATTGATGAAATGATAAATTGATGTTTACGTTAAGAAAGTCAAATATTAGACGACCTTGAAAGAAATAGCCAAAAAAAGTATTTGCAATTTTTTTTTGATTTAATTCATATGAAGAAGTTGTAAGAGATTTGGCACGTGCTTAGTTATATTGATCAATTTAATTAAAGAGAATTATTTAATACCTTAAGGGCTATGGGGGGGGGGGGGGGGGGGGCGGTTTGGAGTAATTTTTTTTTGTCCTTGTCTTTTTTGTGTCATACCCTGTTGAAATGTATAAACAAAATTGTACCACAATATTTACAAAAATTAATCCAAACTTCAACAATTTAAAGATTTCCATCAAAAACAAAAATTGTTTATGAACTCATCAATAAATGCTTCAGCAAAGGATCATCAAATGACTTTGCAAATTATTTTCAATAATATTTTTCTAAAGCATCATTAGTCATCCTAAATTTCTTATTCATCCAGCATCGCATGTCTTACGTTTGTTTATTATAGTCATCCAGATAATTTGTACTGTAAAAAAAAAATAAAATCAATCCTTTTAAGAGGCAATGTTTTTGGGGGGATGATTGATGATTGGGTTGCAGTTTATCGAAGGTTTGAAAATTAAAATGAGGTTCGAAGAGGTAGGAGTTGAGTCTAACCTCAAAAAGAATGTTTTATAGTTTCTTGTAAAGGAGAACAACTATTTGATGGCACGTGCCTTTGTTAAAAGTCTTGATGTGTTTGGAACTCGATGTAATACTTTCCACAATTATTTATATTATCGCATTTATTTTATTTCAGAAGCTGCAAAAAATTACTTCTTAATTCACGTTTTTAAAAATGGCCATTCTTTTCGTTTTTAAATGAATTAGACTATGAGCTGAAGGTGCTCGGTGGCAGAATGGTTTAATTATTTGGTGCCTAATTATTGCAATGCCGACACAGCGATCGTGGGTTAAAATCCCTCTCATGCAAATTTTTTTATTTGTGCTTTTTCGAAACACAGCCTTGCTTTAAAGACAACAGGCAGAAATGTCACCAGTGGAGTAGTTTGGATCCGACATTTAACTGGAGCTCTAGGTTTAAGCGGGAGGTCTGGCGAACCTTCTCTCGTTAAACTAGCATTAGCCTTGTAACGCATATAAAGCGCCGCTATGGATCTTAAGGTCTGAACAGCTAAAGCTTTTTTTTAAGGAATTAGACCAGTGATTCTCAATATTTGCACCGCAGAGCTGTTCATCGAGATAATCCTATATGCATCAATACTGGTTGGGGGCCGTTCACTTATTACGTTCGCATTTTAGGGGGGAGGGGAGGTTTGAAAAATTGTAACAAAATGTAACTTAGGAGGGGGGGGGGCATGTCAAGAAATATGTAACGTTCTAACTGTCGCCTGTCTTTTAAAATTTCCTTTTTAATGACTTATGAAAAATTATCAAAATAAAATAAATTATGAACGTTTGGGGGGGAGGGGGGGGGGGGGGGGTTGTGAGTTGTAACATATTGTAACAAGGGGGAGGGGGTTGAAAAAAGTTTTTTTGCGTAACCTTGTCAACGTGGCACGAACTGTAAACAGATGATCAAATGCTCCGCAACCCCATAAAAAGTTTGAAAGACACTGCATTAGACAGTATATCACCAAGAACAACAAATGTGCTCATGTATTCAGACATTTTTCGGGTACCTAAGCATAACCAAATAAGAAATTCGACATAATTTGACAAATAAGATCCCCAAACTTTGCATTGAATCCCAGTAAAATTCCAATCTTTTTAAAATAATGGACTCACTTGAGAAATACTTAACTTTGACATTAGATTAATTGATAAACGACTTCAATCAATTGACAAATAGTCAAAATAAATTTAAAAAAGTCTTTAATTTCTGCACAATCAAAATGATAAAAGGCACGCAGCATTCAAACAATTTTTCATCAGAAAACAATCAATTTATTTATTCTACTTTAGATGATAAGCGAAAAAAAAAAAATTTGTCATGGCTTTTCCTTTTTTTAATGGATCCGCTTGCTAATTTTAGTACCGTCATTTGTTGATGCTGTGAGATTTATTTCGCTTATTTTCAGTGAGAAACTCATGAAGTGAAGATAATCGATTTATTTAAATTTATGAGCCTTTAATCTCCAAACGAAAATCCGAAGTTTTTTTTTTTGTCAACGCATCGAGAAATTGCAATTTTTTTATTATGAAGAGGAGAAAAAAATGAACATCAGCAGTCGAGCATGTTTTATTATTATTGGGATATGTATGTAGGAATGATGAGGCTACTTGCAATTTTATTTCACTCGTTTTTCATGTCGAGGATGTGTTTTTTTTAAAATAAAAAAAATTGGCAATTTAAAAAAAAATGTACAACAATGAGCGATTTTTTATATGCATAAACATTTATATGAGAAAATTTTTATGTTGTGGCTTGATAAATTATCGCCAATTTCTGAATACATTTTCCTTTTTTCATGCTGTATGAGACTGAAAAAAAAATGAGCTGCACACGACATGTGTTGTGGAGAAAAAGTAGAAAATGAGGAAAATTTAAATTGTCTGACTCTATTAAAGGTATTGAGTTTGGCGTGTTTAAAGGAATCAATTGGTTGCAAGTTTGTTGCTGAATTTTCATGCAGAAGGATGGAAATTCTTTCTAGGAAGGACTTTTTGATACAAAGCAATGTCCCTGAAGAGCTTTAGCATGTTGTAGCTCCAGAAACTGACTTGCAGATGCCAGTAGCCTTCTATAATAGGTCACAGACTAAACTTATAAGAATCATTCAATCATTTTTCATCATCAAATGTAAACCACTTAACATCCTTTTGTCTCAAACTCAATGAATATACAATCAACATAATTTTGAAGCTATATACGCGATCGGCACGCATTGAAATGTTTGCCATCAGGAAGTCGGGTTGATAGTACGTCCGGCATCAGTGGCATCAATGGCCCAAGTGGTAGAGCGTTGCCTTCCGTGCCAAAGGTCTTGGGTTCAATCCCAGGCCAAGGCAAGTTTTAAAAGCTCTTTTTCCATTTCACCGTTCATTTGCTAGGTATACAAGGATATAGCGTCTGGATGACTTCCTTACGGCATCTTGCGCACACGAATTGTTACTAGGTCCATTGTACCTCAGTTCTTTAGACATCCTCGTGTCTTTTCAATGTGCAGAGCTTGCAAGTGGTTTGGATCCCACTATAATCTGTAATAAAACTATAATTTGAATCGCAGTGCCTTCAGCCACGTGGCAGCAGCTTCTAATTATACTATCAACCCGTCTTCTGGGTGGCAAACGTATGAATGATTTTCAATGTGTGCCGATTGGACCAGATTGCATTCCATGTCTATATAATATTCATAAACCTTCGATAAAGTAGCATGCCACATAATGAATCATATGTACATCTCTGTCTGAACAACATGGCGACTTTATTTAATATTTATCTGGTTACTGTGTGCAACCTCTTAAACTATACATTAACTTACTTCAAAAAAATTAATTTAAATTTCTTTCATTTCGTTCCTCAAGCATCATAAAACATGCTCCATAAGTGCTTATAAATATATATTGCACGAGATAAATGGCATATGCACGTGTTACTTCTATTTCAACTGACAGAAATAGCATATTCGTGACTATGTACTTTTAGCCACAATTGCAGATTTATCTGAATGGAAATAAAAGTATTGTTTGGCTGTTACTTTCTCGCTCTCGTAAGCAATCCAAAAAACAAACAGACCAACTTACAAAAGACAATGATGTTATTGCGGGTTTTTAAGTTTTTTTTTGGGATATTCTACAAATTATTGGAGGTCAATTGGTGGTTATGTCTGTGATTCTCAGAGGCCATGGATCACAATTGATCTGCACGGAAAGTGAAGTAAAGTAAGTAAGTCTGTGGTTCTATGGTATTCTAAGTTATCTGACGGAGCAACCTGAAATAGTAGCTCACATTCTAAGCCTAAGAGTAGTCATGGTTCATCTAATACAATAAGTACACGACCTCAAGCCTGATTTGTCCTTAATGAAAAGGGATGCAAGAAACTTGAGATCCAAAAGCTCATTATAACGTTACATCACATCCAAACAACCCCAATTTTGTATTTTAAATTGTTTATGTACAATGAAAATTTATGTTCCCTCTTCACCTCTCTCACGTACAGCTGGAATATCGCCAAATAAACCCCGGGACCAACCAAACAATGCGGACATTCATAAAGAAGTCATCGCACTCTCTTCTCATTTTCTTTTGCTATAATTTCCTGTATGTTTTTGTTTTTTGTAGGTGTGGTGGATGATGCAATGCCATCGCTGGCACGATTCTCTGTACTTGTTAAATTGAAGCACATTCCTTTTATATTTATTTGCATTTAAATTGATTTGTTTTTTTTTCTCTCTCTGCTGTTCAGTTCCTTCCTCATTTCCCATTGACACGAATACAACTTTTTTTTTGTGTTCTCGTTCAGTTATTTTATATGAGAAAAAAATAAAAAAACTGTTTCAAAAGGCATTGATATTTATTTAATTCCACTCGCCATCGCCATTCGTGTCACAAACATTGTTCTGGATTTTTGTTTTTTTTGCTGTTTCTCGTGTTTTTGCAGGATGGGAATACTTACATTGTGAGGTAGTAACAGTTGCATGGAAAAGTTAAATTGAGTCATAAATTATCTAAATTACATGTAATGGATGTTTGATTGCAGGGAAAGTTATTAATGAATGGAGAGAAATGTTGAGTGAAAAGTTAAGTAGTGTAAGTTGTGGTTGGGTTGAGTATATGCAGTCAAATTGTAATTTACTGA